CAAACCACAATGGATTTCTAGTTAAGAGGGCACTTTTCTCCAGATATCTAGGCTAGAGAAGCATGCAAATTGGATAACTGTGCTGGAAGCACAGGACACTTCACTGTCTGCATTCCAGTTGCAAATAGATTGCGTAGGTGCTGTCTGAGAGACACAGCATGTTTTAGATTTAGGATTTGGGGTTTTTAGATCAATACTTTTATTAAGGCACAATAATACTTTTAAAAAAACAAAACCTGATTCATGTTAACACTATCACTTTAAGCAGATGCACACCAATTATTTGGGAAGGCCAGAACGAGAGAGGAACGTTTTCTTCTCTAAAATATCAAGCAGGGTGCATTTTAATTTAGATTGCACACAATCTGAACCCATCTAGGCCACACAGCAAGATGCTAATTTTAAGTACTCTCACAAAAAGAGCCCGAGACACAGACAGACAGGCATTCACGTTACAGTAGGTTACATTTTTAAGTTCTGGCTTAATATAACTATCAGAAGCAGTATGTTGAGGCATGTAAAACTTCAGAGATATCAAGCTGTACATGCCATCTGTACTACATCTTTATTGCCACTGTCATGCAGGAAGCAGCCTACAATTATCCAGAATGCAATATTACCTCATTTGAAAACACACAGAAATATTAAAGCATTTGAAATAAGCATCATGAATAAGCCTACTAAACAATGTTCCGTTGTGTTTCTTTTCATTTGCCTGACAACTATCCCCTCCCGTCAGATGTCAAGGAAACAAACAACTATTGGACTCTTAGAAGACATCTGAAGGCAGCCCTGCATAGAAAAGTCTTTTAATGTTTGACATCTTGCTGTGTTTTAATCTGTAGGGCAACCCAGTCATATGGGCGGCATATACATTATTATTATTATTATTATTATTATTATTATTATTATTATTATCATCATCATCCTCATCCTCATCATCATCCCCCTCTATATTTATAATGAAGCTTTTAAACATATTTAGAGCACAGTTCTGCCTGTTCCCTGCCAGAACTGAACCCCTGGGCAATCAGAACCTATAAAGTGTAAGGATTACACACAAAGCAATATTGCATTGAAATATAAGCTGTCCACCATTTCTCCCCCTTAATTGGATTCTTTAATAAAATACTTAAAAATCAGAACGCAGGAAGTGGCTTGCACATGTTGTATACTCAATATCCTCTTACCCACACACATACACTGCTTGGGTCTGTAGTATAAATTTGCAAGGAGAAAGAACTGGAATAAACAGGTTATGTCTAGCTAGTGAGGACTGGCAGCCTTGGAGTGCTACTTTCCTACTCACGAGAAACCCCATATATCTGAAGAGATTTGGGCTTCAAAGCCACAGAGATAGTGGCAGAGACACCTTTCTTGGGAGTGCAAGAACAAATACTTGTTTTTAAAAAGCACACAGCATTTTAGGAATTGATATATGGGTCACTCTTGGGAAAACCAGATTACATCAAGCCCATGTACTAGGAGCCTATGACCCACAGGTGTAATAAGGCTGCAAGGCTTCCCAATTTGGCCCATAAGGCAGTTTTGGCCAAGCCACACCCACCTGCCATCATATTATGTCAGACACTGGACAGGTAAAGAAGTGTCTGCAAACAGCAGCAAATCCAAGTCCTGGCTTGAATTTGACACTTTCCCTGTCACACTACTTTGAGGATCTGAATCAGGAGCTTCCGGGTGTATCAGAAATTAGAAAGTAAAATATGCATAGGAGTAGATTGCAATGTGGGTGTGTTTGGATATAGTGCAATTCACACATACTTGGAAGTTAATTTGTGGCACACTTGTTGAAACAGTTGATTACAATGGGTTCAATGTATAATCTGAATCTCAAACCCTTTGTTCCTCAAAGAAACCAACTGACAATGCATCCAGAAGATCTCTGAAGTCACACAGAGAGGTATGCTTTCACCACATGGACTTCTAGGTAACTTGAGTAGCTATCATCTGAAACGAAACCCCCAAAAGGAGAAGAAGAATCCAATAGCAGGGTTTCTGATTTCATCTCATTCAGATGGGGGGCGGGGGGTGAGTTTGGTTGTCACTTAGCCAGTGTCCCACCATTACTATTTGACAGTTTGCAGAGCAAGGTAAAGGTAAAGGATCTCTGGACGGTTTTAGTCCAGTCAAAGATGACTATGGGGTTGCGGCGCTCATCTCGCTTTTAAGGCTGAGGGAGCCGGCATTTGCTATTAATATTCTATTCATCTTAAAGATACAGTGACAGATGCCACAGGTTATGCACACAAAGGGGATCACAGAATATGAGAGACAACAAGGTATGGAAATGAGGTGGTCTGCGCGCAAGGGAGAATCGAAAAGTTGGTCAGAAAAAGCAAGTGAAGATGAAAAGGTGGGAGTAGGAGGCATGGGACTGGCAGTGGAGAAGGTACATGGAAGGGTCTGAAGAATAGGAGTGGTTTCATAACTGGACAGAAGGCAAAAAGGGTGCTTAGTAAGTGGCAATGTCTGGAAGACGCAAGATGCAGGAAGTAACCATGGGGGTTGTTTGTGTGCACTAAGGGAGGCGGGGAGTCGTACATACGGAGATGAAGGTGAAAATGGGTGCAAGGCGGGACTGCAGAATTTAAGATTTCAGAAATGGGGTTTGAATGGTGAAAAGGGAGCTTAGGGAATGGCAGGGGAGTCAGCGAGCACGGCCCCTAGGAAGTAAAAGAGACTGCTGTACAACCTACATGATTATTATTTCCCTGTAATAGAAAGCTTAATCTTTTTTTCTTCTTCCAATACTATATTTACTATAACAAGGGTGGCATGCTAGGTAAAGGTAAAGGGACCCCTGACCATTAAGTCCAGTTGCGGATGACTCTGGGGTTGCGGCGCTCATCTCGCTTTACTGGCTGAGGGAGCCGGCGTTTGTCCGCAGACAGCTTTCTGGGTCATGTGGCCAGCATAACTAAACCACTTCTGGCGCAACGGAATACCAGAGCGCACGGAAATGCCATTTACCTTCCCAATGCTGCGGTAGCTATTTATCTACTTGCACTGGCATGCTTTTGAACTGCTAGGTTGGCAGCAGCTGGGACAGAGCAATGGGAGCTCACCCCATCGCGGGGATTCGAACCATCGACTTTCTGATCGGCAAGCCCAAGAGGGTCAGTGGTTTAGACCACAGCGCCACCCACATCCCAACTTTACAGAGCACCTACAACTAAGCCCTGGGATGCACATATTCGTTATTGAGAGTGGAGAGAAACAAATCACAAGCGCGGGTTCACACAAAGTGCTAACTAAACGAGACCATGTCTTGTTTCCTAACAACACAGGAATTGGACAGCAGCAAAATATTGTGCCTAGGATTTCAGCATGGTAGTGATGTGAGGTGAGAATATTCTCCAGAGAAAATTCTCGAGAATGAGAATATTCTTGAGAATATTCTCTGCTAGAAAATTCTCCGGAGAATATTCTCCACAAACTGTAAATTCTAATGTAAGAACCAGTTTTACAACCCACATTTAAAAAATCTAATAAATAATAAGTCAAGCTGTGATATTGCCAGTGTAAGTAGTGAATAATTTTTTTTTTTAATCCAGTTACAGTACATTACTGGGCATTGTTTCATTCACCATTGGCAGTTATAAATGTGAGCTACAGAAAACATTTTTTTTAAAAAAATGCTATTCATTTAATTTTATGAACATTTGAATTCATATGTATTTCAACTATATGTAATAGCCTTTTTTTCTATTTTGGTATGAGCTTCTTCTTAGCAATTCTATACCCTTGGCCCTACAGTGTGATATTTTTTTTACAGAAAGTAGCTTTAATGCTTTATACACCTGAAGTACCTAGGCCTATATAATTATGTGTAACTGCATGTGAGGTGGCCTTGATTTAAACAGCTGACGTTTCTATATTTTTATCTAGTTTTTGGTTGCCATCTGAACAAGTTTACCTATGAATAAACATGTATATTAACTAATTATATCATTTTCAATTCATTAAAATGAATATTCTCCTATTTTAAATGGAAATTCTCTAATATTCTCATTAATTGAGAATATTCTCCAAAAGATTATTCTCAAGAATTTAACATTACTACAGCAGGGTGCACTAGTATGTCACACATGCACATTGAAACCATAGTTTAGTTTAACTGAAGTTTGAAGCGTGGTTGGAGAACCTTCTTTAGTCCAATGAACACATTCCCTCATAGGCAACTTCTGGGAGGGGGGCACATGTTAAGGGTGGGTGGGGCCAGACCCCAAAAAATGGCAGAAAAGTAGGTGTGCCTCTTACCTTTGTATACTAAGCTACATTCCAGTCAAGCAAAAGTCACAGGCACACACACAAACCCCTCCCCCTCTTCTACCTTGGCAAGCAAGAAGCATCCTTGACACAGTTAAGCACTTGAATTCCCAGTAGTAGTTGTGACAGTAGTGTTTACATTTATCTGACACACAAGAATTTTGAAATATGGTATGTAAAACCTCATCGTTTCACTTGGGGTTAGAAAGCAGAACACAGATCAAGATGCCTACAATCCAACCTGGCAATTTTTTTAAGGAGATCTTTTACTCCGTTTACTAACTTGCTATTTCCCCGTTTGACTTCCGTCTAGCTATTTCATTGCAAGCATGTATTCAGCTGCTCAATTGCATTAGAATGTTTTTGCTCTCAAGAACGGAAGGCTCTAATAGTTCCACTATCAATATTTTCCCAGTGCCTTGATGTCATAAACCCCAATAAGGTCCATAGCCTGCTAGTTTGTTTGTTTGCTTGTTTTAAAAAAATACACAATCCACCCTGGCTTTCATAAAACTTATTAGATACTTTACGAGTGTGCACAATAAAAAAAATAGTAAGAATTTATTCTCTTGCCCAAAACAAAGTTCTCATAAGATGAACCAGATGCAAGAAAATCATTCCAACTTTTAGCGCTTAAAAACCCCAATGTTTTGCATTTGGAATAAACTTCAGTTTCCTTGCGAACTAAAATAAATGCAGAAAGCACTCACCATGTTTGTGCAGCGGTATGCGGATTCAGTTCCTAGCATCCATTAAGACAAAAGGAAAAATGCAGACTTTTCACAAAGACTCCTGTCATGCGAGTGCTGCATTCAAAGATCAGTTCAACAGTAACAGGGCAGAGTTTAGTAACTTTTTCCCAGCTGAAGGATTTTCCTGGGATTTGCTGCCAACTAGGCATCAAGAGCTAGTTGTTTGCCAGCAGTGCACTGCTCTGCTCTTGCCAAGCCTTCCGTGGCTTTTGAAGGGCACTGGCACATACATATCCTGCTAGCCCTACAACTTTACTTACAGTAAAAGGAAAGCACAGCTTGTCAAAGTGAGCAACTGGTTAGCCATTCAGCTGTGGGAGGAGCTATAAGCTATTAGCATTCCATGTTGCTTAGCAACTGACAGGGAGCATGATTTGCAAAAAAAAACCTAACTTTGAATCGAGAGAGGAGGGAACTATACACAGTAGTTTAGTGGCACAGAGCAGACCTTGGAAACCAATAAAGTTTTATCCAAGGAGAGAGTTATGACACTAGCACTTTCAAAAGTATGCCCATTTCTGCATGTTATTATGGATAGGATGCAATGCTTTCAAGAGTTGACAGTCCTTTTTTAAACGGCAAGGTTTTAAGCTACAACTACACATTATTGGAAAATGCTGTTTTACACCAATTTCTCCTTGCAACATTAAAAAATAATAATCTTGTAGACATACCAACCAGAGCTGTGACCTTAAACACACTTGCTTTGATATAAATTCTTTATTGATACAGAGTCTTGGACTTCACTATAAAAATGCCTTAACTTAAAGAACAAGAGTGTAAACTAATAGAATTTCAGCTTTGCTTTCTCACAGTAGAAAATAAGACTCCTGCCAACTACCAACAAATCTCAGCTTCAGGTTTGGATTTATCTCTAATATACTCTTACCCCTGTAATCACATTGAACAGAAAGGATTTCTACATAATTGCTACCTGTTCGATATATACAAATCTCAAATTGAATGAAAACAGACATATTAAGAGGAAGCTATACTTCGACACAGGGTGGCGCTGTGGGTAAAAGCCTCAGCGCCTAGGGCTTGCCGATTGAAAGGTCGGCGGTTCGAATCCCCGCGGCGGGGTGCGCTCCCGTTGCTCAGTCCCAGCGCCTGCCAACCTAGCAGTTCGAAAGCACCCCCGGGTGCAAGTAGATAAATAGGGACCGCTTTCTAGCGGGAAGGTAAACGGCGTTTCCTTGTGTGCTGCGCTGGCTCGCCAGAGCAGCGATGTCACGCTGGCCACGTGACCCGGAAGTGTCTCCGGACAGCGCTGGCCCCTGGCCTCTTGAGTGAGATGGGCGCACAACCCTAGAGTCTGTCAAGACTGGCCCGTACGGGCAGGGGTACCTTTACCTTTACCTTTACCTTTACCTTTACCTATACTTCGACTATCCTCTCAAAGTGCTTAGGGCTGCTTGGTATTTAATATAAACATTCAACTGAAGAATGGCACAAAATTACATTGCAATATGTTTACAGTACAATATTATGCATTAGTCTCTGTGTATTCGTATCATTATTAATAATAATGGGACAAAGGACTGCTTCACAGCATGCATACACAGAGAGCAAGCAAATAAAGACATTTTGCTGCCTTTGGCAGAGGACAAGATGGTCCCTCCCCCTCCCCACTCTCCCAGTTTCTTCTTCAGAAGCTGATTGGACCTGCAACTGAATCACTGGTGAATGGACAGCATCCTCAATACCATCCTCTCTACTGCAACTGAAGGTAGTAGGGTACCACAGGAAGTGTGTGGCAGGTCATTAACCATTCTCAATTAATTACGGTTCATGGAACTCTTGAGTGTGAGGTAGGAGAAGTACTGGGCCTATTCAGCAAATTTAGGTTTATAGCACAGATATGGCCTAAAACTTATATTTTGCTAACGTATCCCATGAACACCTTACCCAAACACCCTACAGTAAAAAAAAGGTAATTATCAGGATTCATTTTACTATTGGTAGTGACGGAAATACCAGCAGCCTCAAGAGAATCCCAAGCTTTGCACATGAAAAAGAAAAAAAGTTTAGAAAAAACTAAAAGGGGGACTCACTCCCAAATAGGTAAAATAAGGACCAACAGCGTTCAATGGCCACAAAATACATGCAATGAAAAGCAAGGATAGGGATAAGATACAGAGCTACTGCGAAATCAGAGGAGGAGGAGAAGAATTCAAAGGAGCACCTGGAATCCTGAACAGGAAGCACATCACACTGCAACAATTTTGTAAATTATTTTTTTTACAAAAATCCTTCATAAAAGCAATTCGTGTGGATAAGAACTACTTTCAACAAGTTTAGAAGCACGACTTTGTAGATGGAAGATGGCAGCAAACCTGCTCAACCAGTTTAGTTTATTACAATTTAATAGGGGTGTTCCACAGCTACACAATCATGCTGACAAAGGAACTCCTTAAGTGGTTCTTAAATCAGGGCCAAATTACCTCTGTCATTGTTTATGGGCCAAGTGCAAACCTTTTCTTTCCCAAATTGTTGGTGCAGAGAAGGGTCCAGATCGGGAGCCTGGAATGGGGGTAGGTGTGGATTTGGGAGTGAAGGAGAGAAACATACCTGCAATTTGTATTGGGAGAGAACTGGTGATGTTACAAGCTTCCTCTCTCTACAACGGTTGTCCCCTCATGTTGTACATAAATAACTGGGTAGTATTAATAGTAGCTTTACTCTAACCAGAGTCTGTTATACTGTACACAAGTGCTAAATATAACTTACACTAGTGTTATTGAATGACCTTCTACAGAAGTGTTCTCTCATCAATATACCTAGCCTAACAAATTAGCTCGACGTGACTGCAATAGTGCCTTGCTGCTGGTTTTAGTTTAGTTAGCTTCCCAATATTCAAAATGAAGCAAATGTCAGTGTGATATCACAGAGCTACCAGTTTCCATTTGCAGTGATCCTCTAGCACCAAAATTGGCAACTAAGCCTTGTTGATGCCATCAGCTACCTTTATGTTGCAATACTACTAGCAAATATTATTATGGATCGTTTTATTACTTTTATTCTCTGGTTATTTGTTGTTTTGCATTTGAATATAGTATGGAAGTTATCTTGTGAGGCTAAAAAGTGACTTATAAATATTTTAAATAAAAAATTGTACCCACCAGGCATGTACTGAAATGCAGTCTACCAGATGTTAATTTGTACTCCTAGTGGGTATACTTACACTTCATAGGATAATATGCCAAACACAAATGTATGAGTAAAAAATGTTTACAATAAGATTGCACTAGCCCTGTGGAATGTTTTCCCTTATTTGAACCCCACTCCATTTCAGAATTGTTCACCATACAAAAGAATTGAGGGCTACTATTCGTCAATAATTCTAAAGCCATCTCTGGCTCACTCAGCTAATTTCATATTACTTTGGATCCTGGCCATATTTAAAAGGATCCTGTTCATAATACTGAAAATGCTCAGCAGACATGCACTCACTGCACATTTCCCAAGTTTCCTATTTCTCCTCCTCAGATAGACTTTCTAAATATGCAGGAAGCCTACAACTGAGTATTTTTAAAAAGCATTGAGCACTATCCAAAGAAGTTCCTCTAGCACAAGGAATTTTTGTTGTGCAATAGAGCCTCCCATTCATTCTCCTCTAACCCACTCACCTACCTAAATCTGTTTCAGGGGTTCCTCTAATCCTCCACAACACATTTGGGAAGGATGCAGAGGCACACAGGGAAAGGAGCAAGCGGAAAACCTTGTGCTAGTAGAATCACATAACTGTAGAGTTGGAAGGGGCCAGGAGGGTCATCTAGTCCAACCCCCTGCAATGCAGGAACCTTTTGCCCAATGCAGGACTCAAACCCACGACTCTGAGATTAGGAGTCTTGCGCTCTACCAACTGAGCTACTCCAGGCGATGTAGAAACTGCTTTGCTGGGAGACACCCTTGTTTTAATGTTCTAAATATACATCTGTTGGAAAGTAAAATGGGCAATGCAACAACACAACATATGCTACAAGTTCACATTAGTAGCATAGTATTTCCTGGGAGTTGCCTCACCTAAGCCATTTGGCCAGGGAGAAGTGAGGGGGAAAAAACCCTCCTCCAACTCAACCACAAAAGTGAATAAAAACTATGCAAATTTGTGTCTTGTTTGTGAGTGGGGCAGAGGACCCAAATGACATACAGTCTGGACGCAAAAGTCCTGTTGACACCCCTGAGTACATTACAGTACCTGGCAATGACTAGGGCAAGGTCCAATGTCTCTAGATAGGGAGATATCAGGTGTACTAACCTACATGGGTACAAGGCACACCTAGCAACAGACACCACCTGTGTTCAGCTCAGAAGGACCCTAAGCTATGGACTTGATCCTTAGCTTAAGGAAGTGCAACTCCATCCTCATCAGTTGTCTTCTTGACACACGGTACAGTCACACCTCAGGTTACAGACGCTTCAGGTTGTGTTTTTTCAGGTTACGAACTGTCGAAACCAGGAAGTACCGGAACAGGTTACTTCCGGGTTTCGGTGGTTGCACATGCACAGAGGCGCTAAATCATGCTTTGCGCATGCACAGAAGCACCGAATCACAACCTGTGGGTGCGCAGACGCGCTGCTGCAGGTTGCGAAAGCTGCGGGTTGCAAATCTGCATCCTGCACGGATCATATTCACAACCCGAGCGTCCACTGTACTTCCATCTTGTCCCGCTCAAGCCTCAGCTTGTTCACCCTTATTCATTCCCAACCTGTCCAACAAACACTGAACTGCTGACACACAGGATTAACACAAAGCAGCTAGTATACTTTTTCAGAGAAGAATACTTGAATCTTGCACGAACACTTCACCTCTGTTGATAGCAAGCTGGCATCACTTTAGAGACTTTGTAGCCATTCAAAAGTGAGCAGGAGCACCAACACAACAGCTGACTAAAATAGAATGGTACTTAAATTAGAATAAGATTTGAGGGCAGGAGGGAGAAACAGTAGTACAGGAAAGTGCTGTATTAACAGTGAAACTGGGGCATAGCTAATGACAAGAATTTGGATACCTTCCCTATGAATTAAGAATAATTCCACCATTCATCTTGGAGCAAGAAGGGAACTAGCCAACAAGCATGAAAAATTGGAAATTCAGGAACTGGAAATACGGCTCATGGGGAAACATTTTTTTTAAAAAAAATCAACAAAAAGTTATCCAGTTTATATTTGGCTATTACTTACCCCCTTTTACAATTTTTCAACAAGTGTCACAAGAATTCAGACAAGGAGTTTCACTATTTTCATTTTAGAAGATGAATAAAACTTGG